ATATATATATATATATATATACCACATCTTCTTTATCCATTCATCTGTCGATGGACATCTTGGCTCTACTGGGTATTTACCCCAAAGATACAAATGTAGGGATCTGAAGGGGTACATGCACCCTGAAGTTTATAGCAGCAATGTCCACAACAGCCAAACTATGGAAAGAGCCAAGATACCATATCTTTAATAAGTAAAGGAATGCATAACCATAATGAGGAGAAAAATGGAAGATATAAAAAAGACTCAAGTGGAACTTCTAAATTTTAAAAATATAGCATCTGCAATAAAAAATACTCTGGATACCATTAATAGCAGCAAATGAAAAATATATTGGCTGAGACTAATAGCAGAGTACATACAACATAATAAATGGTCAGAGCAAAAGAAACTATCCAAAATGGAAAATAGAAAAAATGAAGACTAAAAATAAAAATGAACACAGGATCGGTGATACGTGGTTTCTTACCAAGAAGTCTACCATACGTGGAATTGGACTCCTGGAAAAAAAAAGGGGGAGGCAAAAATAGTAGTAGAAATAGAGCTACAATTTTACCAAATTTGATGAAAACTATAAACCTACAGATTCAAGAATTTCAAAGAACCACAAGTAGAATTAAAAAAAAAAGATCTACACCCTAGCACATTAGAATCAAATTGCTAAAAACCAATGAAAGAGAGAAAATCTTAAAAGGAAACAAAGTGGGGGGGGAGATGATAAGAAGTACAGCAGATTTGTCATCAGATAATGTGCAGGTCAGAAGACAAGGAAGAAACATTTTAAGATACTGAAATTAAAACAAAAACAAAATTAAACCATGTCAACTTAGAATTCTACTTATACTCAGTGAAATTATCCCTCAAAATAGAAGATGAAAAAATCAACTTTTCAAAAAAACAAAAGCTAAGAGAATTCATTACTAACAGACTTCCACTACAAGAAATGTCAAAGGAAGTTCTTCCACAGAAGGAAATACCACGTGGAAATTATAATCTATACAAAGGAATTGAAGAGCAGTAAAAATGGTAAATATGTGGTAAATAAATACAAAGGAATTGAAGAGCACTAAAAAATGGTAAATAAAAAAGATATTTTTTCACTTTAAATTCCTTTCAAATATAACTAGATGTTCAAAGCAGAAAAATAACAATGTATTATGAATTCTGTAGCTTATAAAAAACAAAACACATGACACAGCACAGCACAAAGGATGAGAAGAGTGAAATGGAGGCATGCCATTGTAAGACTCTATAGTGGTAGCTTTATATGTTTAGAAAAAAGGGAGCAAATTAGGAATTTAAGAATTTAGATATAGAACTTTACATAAAAACTTTGGAAAAAAATCCAGGATCTTTAAAAAATGATTTAATTCAAAACCACACTTTCAACAATGGCTAGATCATCCAGACATAAAACCAATAAGGAAACACTGGACTTAAACTACACATTAGACCAGATGAGCCTATTAAACATATATAGGACATTCCATCCAACAGCAGCAGAGAACACACATTCTTCTCAAGTGCACATGGAACATTCTCCAGGATGGATCACATGTTAGGTCATAAAACAAATCTTAAAAAATTTAAGAAGAATGAGATCACATCAAGCATCTTTTCTGACCACAATGGTATGAAATTAGAAATCAATTTTAAGAAAAAAAAAAGGGAAAATTCACAAATATGTAGAAATGAAACAATATAAATAAATGGAAAGATATTCTATACTCTAGGATTGGAAGAATTAATATTGTTAAAATGCCCATACCAACCAAAGCAATCTACAGATTCAATGCAATCTCTATCAAAGCTACAATGGTATTTTTTACAGAAATTAAAAAAAAAAATTCTAAAATTTGTATGAAACTACAAAAGACATTGAATAGCCAAAGTAATCTTGAGAAAGAACAAAGCTGGAGGCATCACAATTCCTGATGTCAAACTATATTACAAAGCTGTAGTAATCACCACTGTATAGAATTGGCATAAGAACAGACACATAGGGGCGCCTGGGTGGCTCAGTCGTTAAGTGTCTGCCTTCGACTCAGGTCATGATCCCAGGGTGCTGGGATCGAGCCCCGCATCAGGCTCCCTGCTCGGCGGGAAGCCTGCTTCTCCCTCTCCCACTCCCCCTGCTTGTGTTCCCTCTCTCGCTGTCTCTCTCTCTGTCAAATAAATAAATAAAATCTTAAAAAAAAAAAAGAACAGACATATAGGTCAATGGAACAGTTTAGAGCCCAGAAATAAATGCATGCCCATATAGTCAATTAATTTATGACAAAACCGTCAAGAATATACAATGAGGACTCTCTGCAATAAATGGTGTTGGGAAAGCTAGACAGCCATATGCAAATGAATGAACTAACCCTCTATCTTACACCACACAAAAATCAACTCAAAATAGATTACAGATATAAATGTTTAGAAGTCCTAGGAAAAAACAAGGGTAAGCTCCTTGACATCAACCTTGGTAATGATTTTTTGAATTTGGCACCAAAAGCCAAGGCAACAAAAGCAAAAATAAACAAGAAAGACTACTTCAAACTAAAAGGTCTACACAGTTATGGAAACCAGCAATAAGATGAAAAGGCAACCTATGGAATGGAAGAATATATTTGCAAACCTGCAAATCTAATGAAATTTGCAAAGCTGATTAGGGGTTAACATCGAAAATATACAAGGAACTCATACAACTCAATAGCAAAAAAACAAATAATCCAATTAAAAAATGGGCAAAGAACCTGTATAAACATTTTTTCCAAAGAAGATGTACAAATGTACAACAGGTCCATGAAAGGGTATTCAACATCCCCAATCACCAGAAAAATGCAAATCAAAACCACAATGAGATACTTCCTCACAGCTGTTAGGATGTCTATCATCAAAAAGACAAGATATAACAAAGGTTGGTAAGGATGTGGAAAAAAAGGAATACTTGTGGCACTGTTGGTGGAAATAGAAGTTGGTTCAGCCACTCTGGAAAACAGTATGGAGGTTCCTCTGAAAATTAAACATAGAGCTATCATAAGATTCAGCAATCCTATTTCTGGGTATACATCCAAAGGAAATTAAATCATTACCTCAAAGAAATATCTGTACTCCCATGTTCATAGCAGCATTATTCACAATAACCAAGGTATGGAAATAACCTAAGTGTCTGATGACAGATGAATGGATTGAGAAAATGTTATACACACACACATGCACATACACAGGAATAATTTTTAGCCTTATGAATCTGGAGGGCATTATGCTAAGTGAAGTAAGCCAGACAGGAAAAGACAAATACCATATGGGATCAGTTATATGTGGAATCTTAAAAAACAAACAAACAAAAAACAAAACAAAGAAACAAACAAATAAAACGGGCACCTGGGTGGCTCAGTCAGTTAAGCATCTGCCTTCGGCTCAGGTCATGATCCCGGAGTCCTGGGATCGAGTCCCAAGTCGGTCTCCCTGCTCCACAGGGAGTCTGCTTCTCCCTCTGCCCCTCCTCCCACTCACTCTCTCAATCTCTCTCTAATAAATAAATAAAATCTTAAAAAAAAAAATGAACTCATAGAAACAGATACAATGGTGGCTTCCAGGGCCTGAGGGGTGGGGGAAATGGGGAGAGAC